TCCTGAGTTTCAACATCTTCATCTTTCTTACCCTTCTTCTTCTTCTCTTCCTTTTCCTTGCCCTTCTTGTCTTTTTTCTCTTTCCCTACATCCTCTGTGTCAATGTTTTTGTCTTTTTTCTTCTTCTCTTTTTCCTTGTCCTTCTTGTCTTTTTTTCCTATCTTCTCTTCCTCCGATTCGACATCTTCATCTTTGTCAGCCTTCTTGCTGTTCTTCTTCTTCTCCTCTTTTTCCTTATCCTTTTTGTGTTTTGGTTCCTCCTCTGACTCGACATTTTCATCTTTCTCAGCCTTCTTCTCTTTTCCCTTATCCTTCTTATCCTTCTTCTCTTTCTTCTCCTTGTCTTTTCCCTTATTTGCTTCATCATGCTCACCAGACTCCTCATCAGTGCCATCCTTGTGTTTCTTCTCCTTCTTTTTCTTCTTCTCCCCTTCGTCATCACTCTTCTTTTCTTTCTTCTTCTTGTCCTTCTTGGTGGATTCCTTATCATTTTCATCGTCTCCTTTCTTCTTCAGCTCCTTTCCATCTTTTTCCAATGATTTGGACTTACATACCACTTCTCCGTCTGTCTTCTCTTCTGCTTTGTCAGATGTTTTAATCTTGCTCTCAACCTTCAGCTGAACTTGTTCCTTCTCCAACTTTTCTATGCCTTCATCAACGACATAAGATTTGTCTTCCATCTTGGGTATTGTAGCCAGTCCAACCAGTGAACTTTTCTCTCGTAGGTCAAAGTATCTGAGAAAATCGAAAAATTGTGGAGATCTGTGTTAGCGTTTCCAACTCAATCAATTTGATCGCGAGAACTACTAAGAGAAATGAAGCAAAAAGGCAGATATACAAACACAAATAAAATTGCACAAGCGCTGGAACTTGTACCGTCAAAAACTAAATTGTGTAAAACCAGACTTCCACTGATGTTTTGAGACGATGATCATCTTCTAGACTTTATTGGAGAAATGGGAAAAAGCAAAAAGCAAAAACAGCTGAAAACAGAGAAACCTGAATGTAGCCATATCAATCGGTACTACGAAAATTGCCTCATATATATCAAGTTACGATCACCCTCTCCTAAGTTGCTTCCTATTTCTCTACCTCTACCGACAAAAACTGCTTACAAAATAAGTAAAGCAGGTAAATTTTCTTCCCAGAGACCACGAAGGGTGAGCGAATTTATATGTCAATGATTATTGCATCCGAAAGCACCCTCCCCTGTTTCCATCCAATCCCGAACCTCTTCACGTAGCTCATCATAATTCATAGCAACCATCAAACATCCCCTCGACCCTCGATGCATTAGCTATAATAGAAACAACAAAATGAGAAAAGGTAGAGATCACATGCCATCTCAAACATAAAACTCTTCATTTTCACAAAGAACTAATTCCCAATAACATCATAGCGATAATCAACCAAAAAGCAGGAGCATCAAAGTGACAAAATATTCAAAACCAGCGAAATTCGGATAAAGATCATCGCATGAATGACACGAACAAACGCTATATCCAAGTACCGACCATGGACAGGTAGTCTAAACATGGATATTGAGTTTGCGTTATCAGCTTGAACCAATTAAATAAAGCAAAAAAAAAAACACACACACACACACAAACCTGGGATCAATTGATGCAGCTGGGAAGATAGGAAGAATTTTTGCGTACACAGGGGAAGGTGGTTCTCCTGGATTCTGGAATATGTGTATAATTCTACTTCTGTTTGGGGGCTCTCTGTCGAGGGTCAATCATATTATTTATAGGCAAGGTAGAAGAAAAAGCAAATCTAGCGAGATCACCCGCACCAGATAAAAACTGAAGGGAAAAAGAGAGAAAGAGGAGGGGCGTGGGCTGGGATGGTGGTAAATTGGTAATTGTGGTAGTCTATGGAAAGGTCACCGCGTGAAGAGCGTAACAAGGGATGGCAGACATGAGATGACATGGGTGGGTCATGGGTGCTGTAGGAGTGAAGTGGGGAGCTCCAGCGGGGCCCAAAATCTGATTAGAGTAATTTGGGATTAAGGCTGTCGTGTGTGTGAATTCAAAGCTCCTAAATTAAATTGCGATGGGTTGCGTTAGTTGGGGAATCACAGACTGCTTGCACACTAAGGAACTCATTTTCTGAAAACCCAACTCGACCCTCTTCTTCTGTCACTTCCGCGGTAGAGCCCAAATTCAGCATCCCCCCCTTTTTTCTTTTTTGTTTTTCTCTTTAATATCCTGTTCTGTACTGTTTGAACTTCAGGACTAATGCGTCGTTGAGAGGCTCTAACTCTGGGGCTGCTGTATGTGCAATTGCTAGATAAGACTTTCCAGGGGGTCGAATTCGGCTGTTTTGGGGTTAAAGTCCCTGCAAAACACGAAAACAAAGATGGGATTTATCTCCCGATTCAACTCCGATGTCTAAATTAGTGAGGGTAGGAGTTGGCATTAGGAGGAGGGATGAGAAAACTTAATCCAACCTCCTTGTTCATTTATTATTAAACTTCCACCCTCAGTAATTTAGGCATAGGAATTAAAATCGGGGAGGTTGTTTTCGTGTTTAGCAAGAATTTCAGGCTCGAAATAGCCCAACTCGACCCTCTAGGGAGTCTGATCTAGCAATTGCACGCTATACAAAATTTGAGGCTTTGCTCGCCCATTTATTCAATATATATGAAGGGCTGGCTAGTTCAAAAACCAAGCCTCGAAATGAATGGACTCGAGAGAACTTCTTCATGCCTTAACCAAAAAATAAATTACATGCTGGATTTAAAAAAAAAAAAAAAAATCTTTAACGTGGTTGTTTACAAAGCACGGAGTATTCGAGCTGAGACAACGTCAAGCAGAAACGTTTTGTTCAGTTAGTGGTAACTTTTTCTACCTGAATACCGATGATGTCCATATATCTATGCTTCAAGGAATTGCTTTTGATGACGGGTGGAGATAACAAACTGGGCAAGGAAGGGTTTCTAGGACTGTCACCAGATATCTGTCTGACAAACAAAAGGTACTGTCTCGGCCCAGTGTTTGTTGACAGCCTATGTCCCAACGGAGGAGGAGGAGGAGGGGCTGGAACGATTGTCAGAAACAACCGTTTCGAAAGTTTCACGGTCATGATTAGATCAAAAAAATTTGTGTGACTCAGATCACTCCTTTGTAACTCGATTTTCACGTCGTGTGGGATCCACAAAAATGTTGTTCTAGTGTTATTCGCTGTTGTTCTATTATTACACCTTATACACATGATGTTACATCGTGTGCAAATGATGTTACACCTTTCGGAACAGTTGCTCTGACAACCGTTCCAGCCCCAAATCCATGTCGCAACAGCACTAGTTTTACTTTCTCGAAATCTGCTATCGCAGCACATTAACAGGCAGAGCCAACAACCTCTTGGTCCGTTGGTAACCCAAGACTTATAAGCCTTCAAGGGTTCAATCCTAATTTTTTTTTTTATCAAAAATTACTATTTAATTGTGATTGTCACATTTGAGTGGCTTTTTTTTTTACGGAATTTTCATCGACTCTCCTTTCTCATATAAGAATAGATTAGTGTATTTTATATAATTGTTATTGTTGCAACAAAAAAAAAAACCCATTAACAGGCAGAGGATTAAAGAGGCCCGTATGTCTGTCTCACAAAAAAACACATTAAAGAGGCCCGTACAGGCCAGATTCTGGGCCCAGCGTTTCTTCTTATAAAGTAGAAAAATTTTAAAAAAAAATGCCGAGCATTTGGGAGCGGCAACTCGAATGAGTTGTTTCTGATTCGAGAAGTATGTTAGGTGCCGGACCAGACCCAGCACCATTTGTTCCCAAGTTGAAGATTCCAAGAGCAAATTTACTTGGAGTTTCTCCCAATTGTTCACAACTTTCAGTGGACTGTAAACCAACCCACAATTGCTTCAAGTTTGTTTTGCTGAATCTAACTTGATAAGTCACTACCTGATTCTTGATCTTTAAGGTTTAAAAAAAAAAGAAAAAAGAAAAAAATTGCAATTGAGACAAAACGTCCACACTTGCGAAAGTTTGAAGACCAATCAATCAAAAAGTTGAATTGATGTTCCCTGTTTGGAAGGTAAGTTTTTTAAGAGTTTGTCTAAAATTTTACTGTAGATGTTTTTAAAATTTTTTTTGAAATGTGTAGATTTTTTAATATTTTGAAGTGTATAGTTTAAAATTTTTGAGAAAATATTTGAAGTTACTGTAGTTAAAATTTTTAAAAAACTTGTAGCAGATAAACTTGACAAAAAACTTGGATTCCAAACAAGGCCGAATAATCTTTAAAAAACACACACTATACTACTTGGTAAAGATTGCAGCTGGACAGCATGCGGTGGAGTTTGCAAAATCTTGAGTGAGGACAAATAATAATTAATGGCAGGCTCTGAAGATCCATCCAAATCACAACAATAATAACGGAGTAACAATAATAAACTAATAAATCATCGAGGAATAAAAACACAACAGGTCAATAATGTTCATTTTGCCTCCCATGTTACCATGACTTAATTGTCATCATTTGATTATATTTTTTCTTTTTCTGCTTAACATAACAAGCTTTGCTGTCAATTTTATCAAATTTATGAGAAGCTCCATAACAAAGAGCGAAATTTCAAGTTGATAAAATTGGTGAAAGAATGTGATGATTCCTTTTATCTTACCACTTTTGTACCAATTCATTGGATATTCACGTGGTGGTCTCGTTATCACTTGAAATTTCAAAAGTTTCCTTAAATCCCTAAAAAAAAAAAAAAAAGATCTACAAAATCTAAATATTCAAATTTTCATGAAGTAAAAAAAAAAAAAAGAGTATAAATTATAAAGGGGATATTTACTTTTCAAATAACTTGCTGCATTATCAAAAGCAATTAATATCTGATTAAAATTTCGGACTGCGTATAAGCAAAATACTAACTTCTCATAAGTTAAGGAAAATTTTAATTTAGAAGAGTAATCAGCCCATTAATTTAATTAATTATATTGACGCAAGTATAAATGTGAAAAAAGAAAAATGGAAGAAGAGAGTAGTGGGGGAAATGAGAGGAAGCTGTCTTCACGCTCCTTCAATGGGAATGCTGGTTCTGAGTTCAACCCAAAACATAAAATAAAAGAGCTCTCTCTCTCTCTCTCTCTCTCTCTCTCTTGCTTTCTCTTGGTTTCTCTCTCTTCCTCACCAAAGAGAGGAGGGAAATCACAGAGGGAGGGAGATCTCCTTCTCTTTCTTTCTTTCTTTTTTTTTTTTTTTCGTTTTTGTTCTTTTTTAATCGTTTCATCTCTGAAGTTTTCACGGCATTGTTATTAATCGGCTTCCAACATGAACGATCTCTTAACGGTAATTTCCACATTTTTTTCTAATCGTTCCTCCTGTTTCAATTTGTCTTGTTTCTGTTCTGATTCTGAAAATTTATGGCATCTATCTTAGCTAGTTCATTGCTAGTGTTAACGGTTGAAATCATTAAATTTGACAAACTCGGGAACAAGGAGTGTTGAAAAAAAGATTTCACCTTTTGTGCTTGTTTGTGTATCAATGTACGTAGCTTTGCGTGTATCTGTGTGTGTTTACATCTTGAAGTAATGAAATGCAACCCGGAGTAGTTGGCGCTAGCTGAAGAAAACTTTTGGGAGATCAAGATTTCGTCCGAGATAAAAAATTGCTCTCTCTCTCTTTATTATTATTATTTTTTTGGATCGGCTTTTTGAAGCTATTTAAACACAGGACTGGGTTTATAAGAAATTTAAACAGAATGAACAGGGAGATCCGTGACAGTATTGGCCTTCATTATGAGCTAAAGCTCAGGCAGAAATTGTGTTGGCTATGCAAGAAGGATAAACGAATAAACTTGAGGGTGCTAAAAATCCGTAAAAGCCCTAGCAAAGCAATGAGCTTTTTTTTTATTTTTTATTTTTGGTTTTATCTATTTATTGTTCTCAATTGCATTCAGATGTTTGTATTTAGATGGGAATTACGAGGTTGCATCGTCATGGACTTTGTTCTTCTGCCTACAGTCCTTGGTACTCTACTTTTGGTGTGCTTGGTGGTTGGAACTGGATGCAAAATTCACACTTTCTGAAGTTTGTATTAATCAAGCAGTATTCATTGCTTGCAAACTCTCTATAGGAACTTACTGTCCTTGTGTATAACAAGAATAAGTGCATTCCAGTTAACTCTTAATTTCCATTTTGAGAAACTTAAAATATTTTAAAAGTGAAGCTTATATGCTCATCTTTGTAGCATGTTTCTGGCCAAGGATTCTCTGAGAAGCCATTAGCTGTTCCCTTTTTTATTCTTGTCACCGTTTACAGGAATGCTTCTTCTATTTCTTTTTGCAGGATTCTTTTGTCATCCCTCGGGAGGAAACTTCTCGAAATGGGGATATCGAAATGGGAACCCAGCAACCAATGAATTCAGGAGAACTAGGCCTGGACAATTTTTTTAAAAAGGTGAATTCACATTGTTGATGTTATTGTTGTTCCTTTTTGATGGGGTAAAACAGTTCATCTTCTGCTTGTTTTTTGCTTGCAATGCTACAGTAATCATTTCTAACTTTTCTTACTGTGTCTCTAGGTGCAAGAGATTGAGAACCAATATGAGAAATTGAATAAGCTACTTAAAAAACTTCAGGTATGGATATTGTTTCCTCTCCTACATCTCTTTTTTTTTTCCTTCTATTTTATCCTTGCCCATATTTCCCCTTCTGAATGTTGAACAAATCAATTTCAATGGATCGTTGTCCTTTTCGTCCTTGTATTTTTTTCATCATACTTCAATGCATTGTGACAATTAATTGCTTCCTTTGTGCACGATGACAATGGTGATAGAAGGTTAAACTAATCAACTTCCAACCTTTACCCCTGAAATTGTTGCTCCTCAAAAAGTGAGTGGAGAAAAAAGATCATTTATTTGCTTAATTTACCAGATTTGACAAATTCACCCATTTCTTTTCTGGATAAGGAGAATTTTTCATGCCATAGTGAATTTTTTTTACTCTTACCACTTACTGTACCATGTCAAGGATTTTGTTAATCTTAATCCTACTTGATGAGTTCAGAGGTGAGTTATGTGTTACCATCTTTGTCTGCTTACCTGAATGTCTACTGTTGTCTGCAGGATGCTCATGAGGAGTCAAAGGCTGTAACCAAGGCCTCTGCTATGAAAGGCAATTAACTCCTCCTCTATTTCTGTTTAATGCGTGCAGTATGACTAGGATATGCTTGGTTAGCTAGTTGCATGGGCAGAATTATCATGATTATTGGAAATATTTTGCCTGTTACTGACATTGATTGAATGTAGATGATTGTTCTTCAATGTAGAGCTATGAATGGTCTTAGGCATTAAATTGTTATACAGATACAGAGCGAGAGCATTGAGCTGGAAACTTCAGTATGTCTTATTCAATATCACAAGTTGCGTAGGTTTTGAAATTATCTGGTCAAACTGCGTGTAAATTATCTACATAAATATTAACTACTTAAACTAGCCTTGAGCCTTAATCTTGGCTTGGAAGTATGGAACTTTTCCAGTTAAGAACTATATCTGAATATTTTGTCTCAAACTAGGCGTACAACATTGGTAGACTCAAATAACTCTGTTCTGTACGTAAAAGTATTGAACTGTGCATCAGCACATACTATTTCTATCTTGTGATGACACTGCATTTTAGATAAGCTGTTTATTGTAAATTTTTCCTGTCATAATCTGCAGCAATCAAGCAGCGGATGGAGAAGGATGTTGATGAAGTTGGGAAAATTACTCGTGTTATCAAATCAAAAATTGAGGAACTGGACAGAGAAGTAAGGGCTGTAGTTACATATTCTAGCAAGCTTGCAGTATGTAAGATTATTTGCACTGACACCCTTTCCTCTTCTATGCAGAATTTATCCAATAGACAGAAACCTGGATGTGGAAAAGGGTCCGCTGTTGATAGATCAAGAACAGCGACAACAGTGTAATTTAGATGACATTTGACACATCTATTTACTTTTAGCCAACATGATAATCTGTTGTTTGAAATTAGTTTGTTATTTAGACATTTTTTAACCCACTTTGAATGATCTCTGTTATTGTTCCATAAGAGCCAGATGTAGTAGACTAAGCATAACTGATCTTTGGGTGGAATTGATGTTCATGCAGGACACATAGCATAACATATTTTAAGTTGGTAATCCTCAGTGACCATTCTGGTTGGTAATTGTCCTATAAAAGAAGGTGTTATAATTGAGTATCTGCACGTTTTTACTTTCAAAATAGGTCTAATCAACACAGAAATATTTCTATTTAAGGGGATATAACATTTTATTTTTTTAGTGTATTTAAAATGAAACCAAGACGAGGCTATGGTGAGATATCCACTAGCAAATAATGTTGACAGTAGTTTTAGGATAACAAGCTGGGATGCTTGAGGTAATAGTAAGAACTAGCATTATTGAAATTTACAATGGCAGTTAGAACTGAATATACCATAAGTACATAGTATCTGCAAGCATGAAACATTCCCAAAGAATGAAGAAAGGTACTTTGTAACTGTTAAGTGTTAAATAATCTGTTGAGAAATAGAAATTTGTGCTTCTAAGTTTTAAATATCTTTCATATCTGTGTATAATTTTAAAGCTTGGTTCAGTTTAACTTTCTTCTGTTCCTGTCCGAGCATGGAGATTAGACTATTCTTTTCTGCATTCTCATTCTAATTTGCACTTGGGTATATAAATTGCTGTGCAAATTACACTGACACACCTAAGGTTTGCCACTGCTACAAAGCCTTCCATCATGGTTTCTGAAATTATGATGAACTGCATACAAATTCCATGACACGTCAAACCATCATCATCTTCTGCCACTAATGAAGTCCATAATTCCTCGCCTGGTCAAGAACTTCTGGTGGGATTCTGAATTATCCTACTATTCACAATGAAACAAAAGAGAAAAGGGAATCATTGCGGTTATAACAGGGGTAATTTGGTTTATACCACATCCTATGATACTGGAAACCACAAATTATGGAGATTTGTATAATTTTGATAGTCTCATGAAGTTTTGCTAAATAGTGATGAGTGTAGAGAGGGATCAGCCTTCATATAGTAAGATAGTTTCAACTAGATTTTAAGTCTAAAATGATTTTATCTGATTGCAGTTCATTGAAAAAGAAGTTCAAAGACAAGATGACTGAGTTTCAGGTAGCTTGATCTGATTGATGACGTTACAAAGGACATCTTCTCATTTATGTTCTTTTGTTTGTAGATTAACTATGCTTTGATCATTGCAGAATTTGAGAGAGAGCATCCATCAAGAGCATCGTGAGGTCGTAGAAAGACGTGTATTTACAGGTTTTTGGCCCTTGCTTATTGTACATAGAAAACCAACTGCAAAATCTGATAATGTTATAACTAACTAAAATAGTTTTCTCTTTCATGTTTTGGTTGCCAGTTACTGGAAATCGAGCAGACGAAGAGGTTAGGGCCTGATATTCTGTGCTTTGAACCATGTTGAATCTCTCTGTGTATATTTCTGATCTTAATTCTTTTCCCTACTTCTTCAGACTATCGATAAACTTATAGAGACTGGGGATAGCGAACAAATCTTCCAGAAAGCAGTTCAGGATCAAGGACGTGGGCAGGTTTGCTCCACTTCTGTTGTAGCTTATTTCTTCACCTTCCTACGCCTGTCTGTTATTCTGCTTGTGTTTCTTGAAATATTTTCATATCAGATGCACACGGAACATATTTGGGTAATAACTGTGTAACGTGTAAAAGGCTTCTATCGGGGAAATTATTGGTCTTAATTTATCCTCTCCGGGCTTTTGTCGTGCATCTTTGACAAGAAACAAGTCTCTGTTGCACTTGGTGTTGTTGCAACAACACATATCAATCATGCTTTAGCTCTTTGTGTTTTTTTCTTGCAGATCATGGACACGCTAGCAGAAATTCAAGAACGTCATGATGCTGTTAGAGAATTGGAGAGGAAACTTCTTGAATTGCAACAGGTAGTATTGACTTGTAAATACAGAGCATGTTAGTCTTATTGATATAATTTTCGAAGTCAAAATCACATTGGCTTGATTACTTAATTAGTGCGAACTCATTTTTATCGGACTTGATTCCTTAGTTCAGCAAATAATCTCGTGCAGATATTCTTAGACATGGCAGTTTTAGTAGATGCTCAAGGGGACTTGCTTGATAACATAGAGACACATGTAAGATTGCAGATCCTTTCCCTGCTTCTCCGGGCAACAAGAAGGATTTGATGTCAACCACAGTTGTCTTTGCATTTGAATCCGTTGACTTTGTCTCCTATCAATTTTCAGGTTTCGAACGCGGTAGACCATGTGCAGAGTGGAAATGTGGCCCTTCAAAAAGCGAAGACACTGCAAAGGAATTCCAGGAAATGGATGTGCATTGCAATCCTCATCCTTCTCATAATTGTCGCAATCATAGTCGTGGGAGTGCTTAAGCCGTGGCAGAACAACAACAAGGGTGCTTAGATTTTTCTACTCCTCCTCTATGGGAAATGTATAAAGATACGAGGGAAAAGATATATATATACATATTTTTTGTATTATACTAATATTCTATTCTCGAGCTGTTGGAGTCTGGGCTTGCCTGCTCCATTCTTGAGTGTAATTTTCATCTCAGACGAGTAATTGTTTTCTTTACGGATCCATTGATATACATCAGCCTGGTTTCTGTAATATTTGGAGCTATATATTTATTCATGACACGCAATATATATATATATATATATATATATATATATATCTTATCTATCGTGCTATGGATTGACATTTTACATGGAAAAGGCACTCGTCAGTTTATCACATATAGCTATTATTGCTAAGAACTTGTTCTCCAATGTGATTTGGATTTCAAATTAATTAAAACCTAAAGTGTACGGTAGGCCAAAATCCTAGTATTGGATATCGTACTTCCAGGTTATTTAAACTTAGGGCTGCAAACGAGTCGAGTCGAGTCGAGTTTTGAGCTAATCGAGCCGAGTTTCGACTAAATTTTATCAAGCTCGAGCTCGACGAGCTGGCAATTTTCAAGCTCGAGCTCGACTCGAATCAAGTCGAGCCGAGCTCGAGCTCGAAAAAAATAAAAAATAATTATTTTATTTTTAAAAAAATAAATAAAATAATATTTTTTTAATAAATAATAAAATATTAAGGATATATACGTAATTTTACTATAAATATATATATATATATAATATACATAATTTTATTATTAAATAAAAAATATATATATATATATACTCAAGCTCGCGAGCTTAACGAGCTTAATATTCTGAGCTCGAGTTTGACTTGAGCCCGCTCGAGTTCGATTAATATCGAACTCGACTCAAGCTTGCCTCAAGCCGCTCGCGAGCGGTTCGATTCGTTTGCAGCCCTATTCTAAACCAAATGCTCCCGTGAAATTAATTAAAACATTTTTGAATAAGGAGCATTTTGTTTTTCTTTGACACAAAAAAGAAGAAAAAGAGATAAATGACATGCTTCTTATGTAATATATTAATTAATTTCAATTTGACAGGAACATACGTCAGTAAAATGCCAACTTGTAAATTAGGTGGTCACAGCAAGCATTCAAGTCTTGACGGTGTTGGGAGGTCAATGATTCATCAAATTGCCATTATATGTGGAATTTCTACTCGCATCGGCTCCCCCTCCACTTAGATTAGGATAGATTTAGTTGTAAGAATGTTATTGTTGCAAAAAAAAAAAAAAAAAAAAAAAAGAAGTGAACTAGAGTTCTCTCCGCAAATTTCAACCAAAACATAACACCAATTGATGATGACAATAGTTAAGAGCGCTCTCTTTTTTATAATGAAAGACTCGTTACCTTTTTTTTTTCAATCATATATTCACTTTCAGTGAAAAAGAAGATAACCGAGTATAATTATGAAATGACGGAGTGCCATTTCCTTAGATAATTTCCCTATTATAATATATCAAATTGGTTCCGATCCAAGTTATTACCAGAAAAGCGCTGCACGTATAATGCTGATTCCTGAAGTTTTACAATGAAAGAGGGAAAGCCATAAATAAAGTATTGACCCCTCTCTTGTCCATCCAGAATGTCCATCCAATTCAAGAAAAAAGCAATTTTCTAATGGTACTAAGAAAGGTAATGTGGATTTGGTACTTGCAATTCTGGGGATTGATGGATTAGAGGTTAACAAAGTCGACGAATATAATGAAGATTAGCTTTACATGTGAACAGAAGCAAGTGAATGAACAGAAGCAAGGGACTGCAAGCACCAGATAACTAAACTAACCAGACTCGGTTGCAAAACAAAGTATTTAACCGCTTCATTTACTAAAAATCACCCGGAAACCCTCAAGGAACTTCGTCTGAGCCATAGCTCATGCATGACCATGTAAAATGCATCATAATCAAAGGGTGGAAGATGCCAATGGAAATGTTTTCTAGCATTGATGACATTGTTTTTCAGGACAAGATATTCATCAGTACTTATGCCTTGGAGAATCTTCTTCAGTTTTGGTATATCCAAAGTGGCAACAACAACAGAGAAGCTCTTCCAATTCAGTACGTCAGCAAAAGGAAGATCATAATGGTTGGCAATTATCACTGGGACGCACCCATAGTATAGTGCGTCACTGATACGAGCCGTGTTCACCTCGAAGCCTTTAACATGAAGGCAGAATTTGCTGCTTAGAAGCTCCTCTGTGTAAGGTTTTTCAAGGTGACCAGTGTGGACAGAAATCTCTGTATCGTTTCCCCATACTCGAAGAAGATTTTCCCGCACAGGGGAGTTTAATGATCCAGAAAAAAACACCAGCGTTCTCCTGAAATTCATTCTTATTCATGAAGCCAGAAGAATGATGACAGTTGAAAACTTTTGCAAAAGAAATGTGTCATATAATAAAATATCAAAGAAACACAATAAGCTCCCACTAAGCAAACTCATTTCAGACACTTACAAATTCAAATATCTACAATTTCCTTTTGTTTCATGCTTTATGTGATTGTTTCGTATAGATGGATTCTAAGTTCTACTCGGCTATTGGAACAGGTTTATTTGGCAAATTTACACTTCGGAGATTATCATGCCTGTATACGTCAAGATCTCCAGATATCAGACACTAGAAATAAAGCCAGGATAACTCTACTGAAACACATCCACTGAAATGAACTAAGGTAATTAAATGTTTTGCTCACCTTTCATATGATGCAAGATCAGGATTATCGCCTTGCCTTGGCCAAATCTGCGGCAAGGATGCATCTTTGTGGGGAACATAAGCTGATACGTAGTAGCTGGAAGAGCATACAACTTGGATGGCATTGAGCTTAACTTCAATCGTTTTCTCCATGGCAGACCGTCCAACAGAATGACAAGCAACATAAAAATGGTCAGCACCTCCACTTCGATTCCAGTAAGGGTACTCATGACTGATGTTAGATATATAGTTTCTGATGAAGTCTTGGATGCCACGAATCCCAACTCTTGGATCATGCCTCAATCTTGCAATCGAGAAGGGCAGAAAAAAGAGATCAGCTTTGGAAGGATCCTTTGTAATGAAATGGCTGATCATAAGAACCTTCTTGAAATAGCTCTCACTGGCATAATTACCCCCAGGTTCAAAATTCACAGGCAACAGGATATTAGCAAAAGGATCGTCACTTCTGTGAGAATAGACGTATATCTTCAAACTCCTGTTCATTTGCCCATAGTTCCCCACAAAGAAATCTCTGTCATGGAACACCTCGTTATTCACATAGTTTCCTGAACATAAAACCAAGATTTCCACGTGTTCACGTTAAGAACTAATTATTGCACAAAACTTAGCAAGAGTCAACAGACCTTGGTAAATTTTATGGCTGTACACCATTTTTGTCATAATCATCCTCTCTTACCCCATGGAACTTTGTTTGCTTGTTGCAATTTCTTATTTTGGTTCTCTTTTTTCATTATAACACAATAGAAAAAAAAAATCTCTACTATCGATGGTTTCAGCATAAGACACAAGATCAAAGAGAAGTATACTAGAAATCTACCAGGGCTCTTTTTGTCTGTGATATCAAAATTGTATTCAACAAGATAAATCATACAACGTTTACAGATACCAATGGGCTTGTGTCTGTTTCTCATATCGTGGAAAATATAAAATCATAGCAGGGTCTACTCCATTGTAATAATGGACTAAAATTCATCACCTCTAAAGATGATATATTGCTAGAAGTTCCCCTTTCCCCCCTACCCATATTGCAATTGCTTAGGCAATAGTATCAAACTAGAGCTCATCCTTAAACTTCCCTATGATAGAAATCAAATGTAACAGCCCAAAAAACATTACACAATGAACATTTTGGGGCCATATTTTCAATCAAACCCTTATAGAAACTCTCTCTCTCTCTCTCTCTCTCTCTCTCTGAGCACCTTTTTTTTTCCCAACTCAGACAGTGTAGAGCAGAGCCCACCTTCAGGTTGTTCCTTGCCTAACTCTCTCCCCATTATTGGTCGCCTCATCTTATCCAAGCGTCCTCATTTCAATCATGTCCTCTCCTTTATTTCTTCCTCTCCATATTTCTCAAGAAAACTCACTCAATTTGAGATTATATAATTGGAGCAGCGATAAATAACTTGAGATGATTTCTTTTGCATAGCATCTTTATTCTTATTTAGAAGTTGCTCTTCCGGTTTGCTCTGTTTCTTCTGTACATCTGGAAAGGGAATAAATAGTTCAATATTTCTTTATGCTTCAAAATCAACAAAACCTGACAAAATTCATATGGCAAAACTATCCATAAGTTTTTTCCTTTTAACTTCGTATCCAGCAAAAGAAACAAACTAGAGAAAAGTCCTTAAGCCCACAAGCCACAATTCAAATAGTAAACTTTTTAATCCAAAAAAAAAAAAAAAAAATCATCACTTTACTCACCACTTGATATCATTTCGGATTTCCCTAGCCTAGTATTTTCCAGAGCATCATCCACGGCAAAATGAGAAATTTTCCGGTACTCAAATGGGGTTGGAAGCCCGACAACAGATAAGTTGACCAGTCCTGTAACTCCTGTTGAGTTGGAAAATGCCCCAGGTGCGGATAACTTGGTCTGTCTTTGATTCCGAGAAGTTGAGCTTGAGATAGAGAGCATCCCAGTTGCTGAAGATTGTTTGACACGAACATGGGTTTGAGATGGAAAAACCAAGAGATAATTGGAAGTGGAGCAGATATAGAAGAGAATACAAGTAGTGGTGAATAAGGCTAATAATGTGGGTATGCAGAAAATGGCCTTGGGTGAGAGTAAATTAGTACGATTACAGCAGATGATAGCGTACAAGAAAACGGAAGAAGCCATAAGGAATTCGCGGACAGGGTTAGTTGGTCTTAATTTCTTCCCCCAAAGGTTCGAAATGAGAGAAAGAGGGATGCTACAGTCAAAACTGAGTAGCAATCGAAAGCTCTTTCTTTTGTACATTTATTTTCCATTTAAGAACGAGAATTGTGCCTTTAATGAGGTAGTTGGTGTTGTTAAAACATGTTGCCAAATTCCATGAAGTGGTGGGAATTCCCACCAGTTTCTTTGTCGGAACAATTGCATAAAATTTTGCTCAAGGGAAAAGATCACACCCATGTATGCAATTGCAGTCTATAGGAGTATTTGTACCATAGTCTTTTAGCAGAGAAATTCTGGCCCAATGGACATGTTATATCGTGTATGCCGATTCTCCAATTCTGATCAGATTTTCTTGTTGCAATTTTGGAGCAAACAATTATACGATTAGGCAAGCCCCGCCAGTAATTCGATAGGTTCCATAACCTAATAGTTATAAACAGGTCCGTGACCGACTTGTATATTCTTCGCTATATATTTTTGAGGTAAGACTCTACACAATCTTTAAGGGATTAGTCCGACAAAAAGGTTGGAATATTCCTAAATTTAAAAAAAAAAATTATACGGTTAGGCAAGGGAGGGGAACTGCTGGCCCAATGGACATGTTAAGACATAGTGCCAAATACCTGTATTGCTACTTCCGTTTCCAACTCCCCATTCCAGTAATTAATCTTCAAGATTAATTGAGGGCTAATTATGTAGTGATTTCCTATTCATGAGGCATACGTAAACAGTTTTTTAAACTGGGCTGAATGGGCACTCGTTACATTAAATCACACACAACTTACTAGATGAATATATTTATTAACAATCGTTATTGTTTCTTGCATTTATACAGTTATATTTAAGACCTAAACTACAGCTTAACTAACGAGTGGGCACTAGGCACTTGCCTATCATTTATGGATTATTTTTCCTAAGCACTCATTAAGACACCTGAATCACACCTAAGTTACTATATATAAAAGTACACACTTATACTTATTGCACCCCAAGAATTGTAAAACTTTCCCAAATTAACTACACTTTTTCAAGAAACCAATACCTAAACTCCCGCTTATCTAGTGTCCAATCACTTGGGATCCTCGGTGATATGTTTTCTATGCCAATCCAATGCCATTAATAGTGTTGTGCCAAGTGTCATGTTATTATTTAAACTTGTATTAAACCAAGCCAAGTTGAATTATTAGAAAATTAAAGTGTAAATAATAACAAGACACTTGGCACAACACTATTGGTGGCATTGGGTTGGCATAGAAAACATGTCACCGAGGATCTCAAGTGGTGTCCAATAGGCACTGGGTAGCCAAGCAAATTATTTATTGTCCCGCTATTCAAACGTGATTTATTGTTTCAAAGTACATTAATCTGCCCATCGCGGATCATTGTTTCATCAATAATTAACTTGCATTATTTAAAACAAATGGATGAATATACAGCTTGTATTTCTGTACTATACATGAAAAGAAGTAGCGAACTCCCCCATCGAAGAACAATTTTATCCTCCTCAATCAACTGCTAGTATAACTACGGTGGTGTATGTGTGACCCGCTCGTACTTGTGTTTTAACTTATGATTCGCTAGCTTATTAATAGCACTTCTAATCACACACTTCCTCTTATCTAAAACCCACCAAATTTAGTACACACACCTCACCAATTAAACACGCTCCCAAAATACGCAAAAACCCTAGTTTACTCTGACTGTAAAAGTAAAGATAAAACTCTCAATTCTACGATCACTAACTAGACTTACAGCTAGCCACTAATTAATTGCAAGACTCAGATGACTCCTGCGCAGCCATAACTCAAACATGACCATGTGGAATGCATCATAGTCAACGGGGACATCATGCCATTGGAAGTGTTTCTGCACTTCCATTACGCTGCTTTGTAACTTCAAGTAATTACTGGAGTTTATTTCTTGCAGAAGTACTTTCTTCAGAATTGGGATATCCACGGTGGACATGACCACTGAAAAGCTGTTCCAGTTTATTATATCCGCAAATGGGAGATCATAGTGATCGGCCAAGATAACAGGGACACAACCGTAATATAGAGCATCACCAATTCGAGCTGTATTGACTTCGAAGCCTTTTGCATGGATGCAGAATTTGCTCCCCAGAAGTGCTTCTGAGTACGGCGTTTTTAGCCTGCTTCGGTGGACTGAGATTTCGGCGTCGTTTTTCCACACTTGCACTAGGAACTCGCGTACCCGGGAGTTCATTGCTCCGGCAAAAAAGGCAAGTTTTTCCCTGATGAAGATGCCAGCCAATATATTCGAAGATTATTAGGTTCCATTTCGCACGAAAATCAAGATGCATGGCCAATTTCTGTACTGGGAACTAAGGGAACAGGAAAAAAAAGAAAAGAAAAGAGATAATGGGGTGACTATTTAAGAGCTACCACATATAAGAGAGGCTAGCATGGATTAACTACGTAGGTATCAGTTAAAACATTAGCGAGAAGAAAGGGAAAATCAGAGAAACGATACCCCAAATGCCAAATACTAATTGGACAGAGAAATTTGTTTCTTTAACATCGACATCATGACTAGATAGCATTATAGTACTACAGACTAATTAATGAAAACCATTTCTTTTTCCATGTCCAGTTTCTGGCTTGTAATCTGTGTTTAGGCTTTTGATAATAAAAGAGACCTACATCCGCTGATTTTTTTTTTCTTTTTATCAATCATAGCAAGCACGCTTACCCAAGAAACTGCCAACAATTGAGATGAAGTGACTAAGAAATCTAAAAGGCGATAACATGATGCTAATCCTGAGAGGGAAAATAATTGATTGAGATTGATACTTTAATTAATGATGAGTACCTTTTTGACGGTGGTCGAATAGGGGGGTTTCCTTTCCTAGGCCAAATCTGGGGTACGGATGCATCTTTGTGAGCAACATAACCAGGAAGGAAGTAGCTAGAGGAGCACACGACTTGTATGGCATTCAATTTAACTTCAGTTGCCTTCTCCATTGCAGATCTCCCAACAGAATGGCATGCCACGTAAAAATGATCAGCCCCGCCTGTTCTATTCCAATATGGGTAGTTCTTGCTGATATCTCGAATATAATCTCTGACAAAACCCTGTATTCCACCCACGCCAACTCTCTTGTCATGCCTCAGACTTGCAATGGAAAATGGGAGGTAAAACAGATCAGCTTCCAAAGGATTTTCCGTGATAAAATGGCTCTTGAATAAGGCCTTCTTGAAGTAACTTTCACTAGCATAGTTGCCTCCCGGTTCGTCATTTACCGGTAGCAGCACGTTTGCAAAAGGATCGTTTCGCTTGTGAGGGTAAACAAAAATCTTCAAGCTTTTGTTCATTTCTTTGTATTCTTGCTGGAAGAGAGCTTTGTCATGGAATACGTCGAATCCATCCACGTTATTTCCTGAACCATGCAAGCAAACAAGCATCGATTCGTCGATGGCTTTTTCCTTGAAGAAATGCATTGATTTGAGGTGTGAAACATTTTAAGGTAAATATAAAATAAACTCGATCCGCCATAACCTAGTATCCATGTCGAATGCTACATCCATGTTAGAAATCCATGCACTGCCATCCGGTCTGGCTTAATTATTATCCTCAGCCAAATAAGCTTTTGCATCCCAATATTCTTTGAGAGCGCCAAATTAATTATTAATTACAACAGCCGGCATAGTATTATAGACAGGATTGTATTCTTGCGTGTATTTAAAAAAAAAAAAAAAAACAAAGACGGTAGTTGGACACAAATATTTTTCTTTTTTTTTTTTGGGAAATTTGTTGGTCAATTGAGTAACTTCTGGCGTTTAGGAACTTGAATTAGTCAATACGACATAGGGTACGTATTGGGCCAGCAAGACAAAATGAATTCACGTTTCCATTTTCCTAAAGGGATAGTTTCAGAAACCTCCCCTGAGGTTACTTGCATTTTCACACAGCTCCCCTCAGGTTTAGAAAATTACACCAACCTCCCTTGATGCAGTGAAATGACAAAAATGTCCTTGATTAAATAGACAATCTATACCATGCGTTGAAACAAAATAGTGAAATGAAAAAAAAAAATTGTCACCGCTACCCATCTTACCACAGATTCACCAACTACTTATAGTTCCCCGTTTCTCTCATTTATCTTAAGTCCTATCTCTTTTCTCATTTTTCAACATAACCTGCTCCCACCAACCATAATGATAGCAAAGCTATGTCCGCCTCTCTCATTCTCGGTAATTAGAACCTTTTGATTTTTCAACTTTTCTTATGCTTTGCTGATGCTAATGACTTGAAATTGCCAAATAATAAATTGAGGTGAGTAGATTTTATTGTCGAAATAGATAGAGACGAAGAGGATACTAGTGATAGATTTAAAAGAAAAAAAAAAGAAACTGATGGTTGGAAGGGGAAGAGGTCTAGATGAGGGGTATACAATTTTGCCTTCCATAAAAATAAATTTTCTTGTATATTAACAGCTGCATTTGGGTTTCTTTAATTGATTTGCAATAGTTGATAACAGTTTGCTATGGATATCGAAGTTGGTCTAGATCCCTAGATGTTGATGGAGTATTACTAAATTATATGCTTTGGTAAGTAAAAGCATTGCTCTTTGGTATTGGTGGTCGTAGGTTAGGATATTGTTTTATGTTTGGCAAGATGATAGCCAATGCGATTGCAGTTTGGAATTTGAGATTGGTTAATTTTGGGCAAGGAATGAAATAGATGAATTGTAGAAACATTTGGGTATTTGAGGTGACTGTTGTAATTGATTTGCACTGAAAGCATTTGAGCAGAGGTTGAGGATTTTGTGACTGCCCAAATTTTGGGGACTGAGTTGGAGTGAATTTGGGACTCTGTCATACTGTAGAGAGGGATTGAGTTAGGAATGCTTGATTGGTTGCAAAAGTGTATAGGTGAAAGGTGATGACTAAATTATGTTTCCTTTTTGTTTTCACAATTTTAATAGAAGGGTAGTTTGGGATTATTGAAAAAGAATCTAGGTTATTGGGCCTACATGGTTACCTAAATAGTAAACGTAAGGGTAGTATATGTAATTTTGAATATTTGAGGGGAGCTATGTGTAATTAATGGAAACCTCAGGGGAGGTTTCTGAAATTATCCCATTCCTAAATGTATTTTTCTAGACCTTATCCCCGCCGTCCCCCTTTCTCTTTCAGACTTGTCAAACAACATTTCAAAAACTTGAATGAAGATTCTTCATCTGACGCAGACCCGGGAACAACCGCAGGCTTATTGGTTTCTGCTACAACTCTCAGGCGGTAAAAGTCATGATGAGCTTCTTTTTCGTTTGCCTGGTCATACTCCTATTCGATAATCAATTTACTTCGTCATGGTGAGCTACTGTTTTTATCATCTTGATCATAAAAGGACCGTGCAACGTACGTACCATGATTTCAAAGCGACGCACACAATTTAATCCAGACGTCGTACTCTAAAAACATCTCATGTTAATTTGAAAAAGTGATTCTTTGCCATGAAAACTGCATCTCTGTTTTGTGGGTTGAGAACTACGTACGTACATTATTATTGGCTCCATTTTGCCCAAGCAGATATCATATCAGTATGTAAAAAGGCATTCTTTTTCAAAAATGGGATCTCGATGGTGCTTTGCCTTTTTACATACTTTATTTTGTTTTTGGTTGAAAAATGAATGTAAAAAGGCAAAGCACCATCGAAATCCCATTTTTGGACCACCGGCATCTAATTGTATATATATAGCTAACCTTAATGAAAAATAAAAGGAATGTTGAACCACAAAAGACAAATATAAATAACAAATTAATAAAAGATATAACGACGAGAAGAAAAGGATGGGGATATACCTTCATGTCTTCCTTGTTGACGTATCTCCTCAGGCTCAGGCAACGGATCATTTTGATCCTCCTGATCAGGAGCTTCATCCTCGTCATTCGCAGACAAAGATGAAGCTTCAGTTGCTTTGGCCAACTGATCATCAGCTGGAAGGCTAGTATTGGCGGCTTCTTGTGAATCACTGTCGTTGACTAACATATAGGACGTCGTCTCATCACCAAGTAGCACTTGGGCCGGCTCCAAAAAGTGGAGTCTAGGAGCATCGAGCGGCTGCCCTTGTTGATGTGGAATCTTGATCGTAACCGGCCGGGAGGAGGAAGTGCTTGGGGGTGAAGAAATAGAGGAGAGTTGTATTGGAGGCCTGACGTGCAGATGAGTTTCGTTTAGGTGGATACTCAGTATATTTGACGTAGAACTTATGTAAAAGAAAATAAAAACACAAGTTGTAAAAGCTAAGCATGTTGGAACGAAGAAAAACAAGCTCGGGCCTGAATCTTTAAGGCGACGATGCACAAAAGAAGAGCTGAAGAAGGGAATTCTAGGAGCCATGATCGCGACCTAGCTGGCTGCTATATCTGCCCAGATGGCCTGCAGAGAATTCACAATTAGTGAGAGTGACAGAGGAAGAAGAAATTATTGATTGAATGACGATGCCTGTCGTTTAATTTATGGTTGGGACCAAAAGTAAATTAATTACTTCTCAGCATGATAGTAATCGTCAGCTAATACGCAGTTTTCTTTTAAATACGTACATATTTTTGTCGGTCTGAATCTGCTAGGCCTGAAGGCCGAGTCATGCAGATACATTGATGGTGATTATAAAAGCATTACTCCATTCAATAATCTTCCTTTGGCAATTAATTAGTCAATCCCATGATTATCAAGTTTTTTTTTTTTTCGTCTGAAAACCCCATGATCACCGAGTTTGACGAGTAAAGCTGCATAGTATAAGATATGAGATCGGGAATTGTCGTGCGCGAAAACCTGCGATGCTCATGCTTTTTAAGTTTTTTTTTTTTTTTTTTTTTGAGAATAAAGAGTATAGTATGATGCATGAGGTTGATGTGGCAGCGACGTTCGATTAGTCAATTAATTAATTATTGGGATCCCTATACTATACTAGAGGTTCCACATTATTCCCTAGCAGTTAGTACACATATATCAACTCTACGACAGGGGTTAGCCGTATATACAGATATTCTTCTTGTTGTCGTGTATATATATATATATATTGATATTATGGGGATGGTTATAATTCTGTGGGTTACAATACGTCCACCCTGGAGGCTGCGGCCCCGTTGAGTGGGTCAAATTGTTGGGTGTAACCACACGATTAATTCAACGGTGACTCCGCACGTTCTTGATGGAATGGGTTATGGTGGTAGAAAGAAAACGACTAACCCCGATGGAAAATGAATCCTGGTACATGCACAGTGCGATATATCTTGACAAAATTTTACTGTAGTAGTAGTAGTAGTACACTGCGGAACATCCTCTCTTTTTAGTTGAGCAGCAGCTGGCCAACTTGGGAGATGAATAAAATACTACTACTTTGCAACAAATTTGGATTTTTTAACGTACTCAGATTTTTTCCACTGCAAATAATTTGGAATTTCATTGACTCAATCCAATCTGTCTCTTTTTTTACTGCAACAGTAAGAAACACGCGCACCCACACAATTAGAACAAGCACGAGAGTTAACGGATAAATCGGCCTAATGATAACAAGCAATCTAAGGGACAATATGTTGTACAATCCAATCTGCCTCTTTATGCTGTAGAAAATCAGGCAACTGTATATGATGTTCTTTACTGCACGCACAGTAAATGGATATCACAATTTTTATTTTAAAGTGAAATATTTTGAGTTTAGAACTTTCTACTTATAATTTCGAGCATTTATTGGTTGGGTTACCTGTCTAGTCTTTGCCCGCAAGATGTATGATTGATCTCCAAACGAAACTGGGAAGTGGCAGGCAAAAATTTTTTTTTTAAAAAAAAGCCCAAAATGTAAGCGCGACTTTGATGGCGACTTTGATGATTGAACTGACCTTTTTTTTTTTTTCACGAAGGAATGATTGAACCGAGTTAATTGAGAATTTAGATCCTGACATCAATCAAGATATTAGTATTTTTTACAAGGAAGAAAGAAGAAAGATGAATCTCTTGCTGGTAGACAATCTTCTCATTCTGTTTTTTATTAACACTAAACAAAAAAGATTCTGAAGGCATCAATTGTGTTTCTATAGATGCAATGGTTTATATACCATTTTTTTTATTTTTTAAAATATTTTTTTAAAATGTAAGTAAAGGATTTCAAATCTGAAACCTCTCATCTACACTATCTCTTCGACTCATTCCTCATCCTTAATTTATATATTGTGTTGCATAATGTATAATCCTGAGAATATACAATAGAATTTTTTTCCTTTTTTAATTTTCCTCCTCACCAAACGTTTTAATTGGTAAAAATAAGGGTATTCTTGGAAATTCATTGATTTTTTTTTTATTTTTAAAATGCCCAAACATGAACTGAACGTTAAAGGTTTACTGAAATTTGGCCAAAAAGAAATAGTGCTATAATTTTCGACAAATACAAAAGGATAGTATGCCAGGACTGATTAGGGATGGCAATGGGGAGGGGGTGAGGCAGGGGTTTCTTCCCCCATCCCCTGCCCCATTGTCAAATAACTCTCCTCGTTCCCCGCCCCATCCTTCGCACCTTGCCCCCCCGTCCCCCGCTCCGCTCCCGCCTCATTTCCCCCGCGGTCCTATGCAAGAAAAGAAATCAACTTATCATAAAATGTCCATTTACAATAATTCACTGAATTTTTTATTAGATTGCACTTGATTGCCCCTCTATGTATATCTGACTTTTCAGTTACCAACCCATCTCCTGACCGAAATATATCATTTGGAGTTATTTCAGCATTATACATATATCCATGGCTATCTTTTTTTTTTAATACTAAAATCTTAAACCATTTAATTGCCGTAAAACGAATATTAGTACATAAGATGCCAGAAATTCATATCTAAAGCCACAACATAGCTTTATAATAATATAGAGTTTTTTCCATTAAGTAATAGCATTTACAGGTCTCCTGACTAATTAGTTAAAGATGACCACCACTATAATAAGTTATATCCATGGCTATTTAAAAGGATTGAACAACTCAGAAATTTATGCACACAAAAGCCTAGTACATGAAGCAAAAAAAAATCAGAAGCAACCCTATACGAAAAGCAAAACTCTCCTCGTATGTCCAAGCATTTTTTAGAATTAATAGAAAAGAAGAAGAATTCTCAAACACTAACTAAAAATACCTTGAACAGTTAGAAATTTTGTTATTTTTGTATATTTATATATATATATTTTATGCGAGGGATGGCCTCATCCCCGCCCCGTTTTAAAGCGGAGGTAAATATTTTGCCCCGTGCTCCATTTGTACCCCCGCGGGACGGGTGACCGCGGGTGCCTGCCGCCGTTGCCTTCCCTAGGAGGCTAGGACTGATGCTACTACTTTACTTGCAAGCCTGATTATGGTAATGCGGAGGAGTAACGCTGCCAATCCAGCACCAGTTTTGCCCTGATTGTTTCCAGGATTTTACAGCAAAATACTAGAACATCTATTGGAGTAGTATTGTACTAGCATCTTTTTTTCGTTCGTCTTCCCTACACCCCGCCGCCTCCGCCCTCTGCTCACTGTAGGCACCCTAGAGAAGCAAGGTTGCACAAACCCTCCGATCAACTTCGGCCTTTTTTCAATAACTTTTCTGGAAAAAGGTACTATAGCTACTCCCAAATCAGCTTCTACTAATTAGGTTGTTTTGGGAATTTCATTTTCTCTCAGATTGTACTGACGAGGGAGAATGATGTTCATGCTTAATCATTTGTATCTCTGCATTTGTTGGGAATTATGTTTCTTTTTTTTTTTTTCCTGGATGAAAGTAAGCGTTTAATTTATGCTTTTCTTTTAGTTTTACTTCTATTTATTTTTTCCCTCCATTTAGTGGGCCCCGAATTTGTACCTTTTTAGCTTCATTGGGCTTAAATGAGAGTTTTGAGGTTTAGATGATTGGACCGCATTGTGTCAAAGAAGAAGCTATATAATACCATATGGATTGAGATTTGAGGTAGTGTACTGTTGAATTTGGTGGAAAGCACAAATTTAATACCAGAACCTCTCTGTTCTTTTGAACTAGTTCAAGTAGGATGAGTTTTTATCTTTCTAACTTATATGCTGCAAACCCAATGTTGAGCTTAGCTTCTGGATTTTTTCTAACTCAAGATTCTAGATTACTTCAATTCATGCTGTTACATTGCTTCCAAATTTACCCATCTGGACTTGTAGTAATTGGGGTTTTCCGATCCTTCTTCTATGTTTGAAGATCTAAACGATCTTAAATGTTAATTCAGCAATGGAGCTCATATGCGGCTCATTTCTCCCTTCCTTTCTTCTGTGTACAGGAGCATATTGGGAGATCTAGTCTTTGCCATCCTATTTTGTTGCTGCTTGTAGACTCGAGCTGGTTGCTAGCAGAATAAGACCACAAACTCATTATTTGAAGCAATAAGCTCTTATTACGAGGCTGGCAATTAAAATGGAGTCCAAAGCCAGTCACTCCGCAGGTCACCTAGAAGAGCCTATTATTCCACAAAATGACATTATTGAGGATGATGATGCTCCAATGCTGAGTACCTATGCTATTGAAGCACTCAAAGAGTTCCTGGCCGAGCAGAATCACTCTACCACCCAGGAATCTTCAGCAGAGGTGGAGGAGGAAGAGGTGGCGCTGGTGACAGAAGACTGGCGGCTCAGCCAGTTCTGGTATGACAGGGAGACTGCTGACACAGTAGCCAAAGAAGTTCTAACTCTCTGTCACTCCTTTGATTCCCCTTCGGTTGCCTGCGTTGCTTGCCCCACTCTTTATGCATACCTCAAGGTATATTGTAATTTACTAAGGATGACTTGAGATGCCAGGTGGCGTACACGACTGTTTATTTTAGGCAGCACTTGCTCTAGCAATGAACATAAGTATATAAAACTATCTCATCTCTTACCTGTCTTCTCAGCTTTTTTAACTGCTTCATTCATGCTAGCTGGTAACTGTTCATTCATTGGATTTAGAAAATTAATTCTGGAGTACCTGCTCAACTTCTTGAGTATGACAAACGATTTGAGCAGTACGGAAGCGAATTCACATTTTACGACTACAATCAGCCTGAAGATATACCGGCATCATTGAACCATTCATTTCCAATAGTAGTTGCTGATCCTCCTTACTTGGTAAGAGTTAAGAAGATCATGCCTGCACTATTGCTTGTCTCGACAGCAATGTATATGCTTGCTTTGCACTTCGATTCTTCTTGTTTAGCTGTTTGTACGCATCTCAGATAGACAAATGACCTAGATTTCTGTTTGTTGGTTAAGTTTATGAATGCAAAACTGATCACAAAATTGGACAAGATGAGTAATTTATTTTCCGTCTTTACTGATGTTCATGCTACATGGCATGAACTATAATGAAATGTTTGGTTGATGAATTGTAAATGACAAGGATTTTGTCATCCAATGAGTTATATTACCCTCTGTTGGAGTATAATTGTATCTTCCCAGAATTGTCTTGGCAAATTCTCATTGTGTGATTGACTTGAAGCCGGAATATTTCCAATATGTACTTATTACCTAATTTGAATGTTGATGTTCTTGCCAGAGCAAGGAATGCTTGGAGAAAGTTACTCAAACAATTTCTTTCCTCTTGAGACCCGGAAAATCCTTTCTGCTATTACTCACTGGTAAAG